GGATGAGCACGCGCAGGAAGGACATTTCCTTGCGGGTGTTCTCGAAGATGACGCGCGGGTCGTCAGACTGGCAGCGCAGGCAGTTGGGGGCCATCACCATGGCGAGGTTGCTCACGTCCATCTTGGTGATGGCCACGTTGGCGGGCTGCACGAACACCTGTGGAGGGGAGAAGCTTGGGCAGGCCTGCGCGGGCGGGCGGGGCCCAGCTCCGGGCGAGTCGGGCCCGGGGCGACCCGGGGGTGTGGGCGGGCGAGGGCCCTGGGCCAGTGGGCCGGCGCCGTACCTGCAGGAAGCGGATGAGGTAGCAGAGCACCATGCGGTTGATGCGGGGCAGCGCGTGCACCACGGCCACGGCGGCCTCCGGGCTCTCATAGTGCGCGATGCACTGCTCGTAGAACTCGTGCGGGATCAGGGGCTCCTCCAGCTCCCGGTACCACAGCTTCAGCAGCGAGGCTACAGACAGGGCGCGGGCTCAGGCTCACAGAAGGACGGTATGGGGGTACTGGGCCAGTGGGGAAAGGGCCCCACTGGCCAACGTGGGTCGGGGCAGCTGGACCAGGTCCGGAGGCATGAGTGGCCAAGCCAGGTGCAACATGCAAACTATGCTTTCTCACAGTCATGTACCTGCTGGGAGAAGGCAGGTGCCCAGGAAGAGCACCAGGCCGACCACAGGCTGCCAGGGAGGCCGTGCCCTGGGCAGGAGGACGTCTGTGCTAGGCTGCTGCCGTCAGACCTCCACAGACCCCAGGCAGGGCAAGCAGAGAGGGCGGGTGGGGTTCTGCCATGTAGTCACAGAGTCCATCAGGGAAGACTGGGGAGGCTGTGGGTGACCCCAGGAGGGGTCTATGGGGCTGTCCAGCCTCTGGGATGTGCCCGTGGGACAGTGACCCAGGGGCCCCTTGGGCTACCACTGCCCCAGCCAGGCCTGTCCTGCTGCTGAGTGGGTGGGGCTCACCAGGGACGTGGGGGTCCTCCAGGCCAGTGGGCACTTTCCACTGGTCCACCTGCAGCTTCAGAGCATTGACCTCATCAATGTCACCAGGCACTCTGTGGAACAGAGCAGGCATCAGACGAGGGGCTTCGCAACAGTCCAGACCCCTCCATCCCGGCTTGCCGATACACATCAGGGTGAGCAGTGACAGAGGGTCCCTGCACTTGGGTCTGGGGTGTGGCTCTGCCCTGGCCACTGAGGCTGTGCTTGTCTCAGTGTCCGATCCCCAGGCCTATGGGTGCCACTGAGGTCCAGGGACACTACCCGGCTGGCCATGTGCCCTCCATGTCGTTGGAGGTGCTGGTCTTTGGCATTGCCAGCTGCCGGTGGTCCCTGCCCTCTGGGCATCTGTGGGCACTTCTGCAGGTGCTGGCCCTGCCTGTCCTGGTGGTCGATTTCCACACAGCGGGCCTGGGACGCACGGTGGCCCCACACCCAGGGCCCGGGTGGCCGTGGCACCTGAAGATGCCCTCTGTCTGGTCACCGTTGAGCGCCAGCACCTCCTCGGAGAGCCGTGTCTGCACCCAGGGCAGCTGCCGGTCGGGGTAGCGCTCCCTCTGCATAGTCATGACCTCCTGCAGCGCGCTGCCGAACATGGATGGGCTGAACACCGCATTCTTGGCGTGCCGGATCTCCTCCACGTTGGGCTTCTTCAGGCCCTGGAGAGAGAGCACGGGGCTCCAGTCCTGGTCAGCCCCTGCCCAGCCCCCGTCCTATCCCGGCCCAGCAGCTCAGCTCCCTGCGAGCCCAGAGTTCTGCCGGTCAGAGCTGGGGCCTCACAGCGGCCCATCCATAGCACCCACAGGAAGAGGGTGACTTCTGGGCCAGTCTAGATGGCCAGGGACTGGCCTGAGCCTGGAAGGGCTGGGGTGGGGGGGGGAGGGCTGCAGTGGGCCTGGGGGGTGCTGGTGAGGAGGGGCTGAGGCCAGGGAACAAGGCCTGGCATGTGACAGGCCTGCCATCCCCAGGGGGTGCAGGGCACAGGCAGCACTGCCAGGGCCAGGCTTGCCTGTTCAGTGGGGCAGTGTGGCAGGGTGAGGGCATGCCAGGATAGGGCAGGCAGGCGGCTGCTGCAGCCACCACCCCTACTTTCGTAGCCCAGCCAGGGGTCTAGCATGGGCAAGAGTCCTGAGAGGTGCAGGCCCTCTGCATGGTCCATTGCTGCTCCCCCCACCTAACGCAGCTGGCCCAAGGAGACGCCTGTCTGGCCACCCACTGGCCCACCTCTCCCACAGCCAGTACCTTCTTGGCCCCGGTCAGGGCTGCCTTCTGCAGCTTGTGGTAGCAGTACTTGGCATATGTGCTTATAGCCACCCCTAGAAAAGAGTGGGTGCTGGTCAGCTGGGGGTGGGGTGCAGAGGCCGAGAGGAGAGGCCTTTCAGCCAGGGCTGGGGCTGGCCTGGCCTGGCTCCTGCCCACCCTCTGCCCAGTGTGACAGCCCCTTACGCTGCCGCATGTCCAGGGGCTAGGGGAAGAACCATGGCCATTCAGGAAAGACAGGGCAGGTGAGAACCTGGCTAGTGCCTGCAGGCACTCAGCCTGCCCTCCCCTGCTGGCCCTGGGGGGTCAGAGCTGAGGCCTCTCCTGGCCTGTGAGCTCCAGGCATGGGAGGCCCAGCTCTCCTGCAGCTGATGCCAGCCTGGGATCCTGGAAGGACATTTGGGGTGGGGGGCCCCTAGTGGAAGAGGTGGTGTGAGCCTCCCACACCCCACAGGACAAGGCTGTGCAGGGGCTACTGGAAGATAGGTCCAGTCTTCCCATGGGAGGGGCTTTTTTTGCTATAGGGTGTGTGCGCTCGCCAGAAAGAGACAGAAAGCGAGAAATCACTCCCAGGGGGGATGGCCACGCTGCAATCCTTCTCCTCCATTCTCTCAGGATCTTGGGCACACGCACACATGCCTGGTGTGAGTTTAAGCCACCGGGTCCAGGACTAGAACCGCAGTCGACTACATGGGAGTCCAGCGACATAGCCATTATGCCAACTGCTGGTCCCAGGAAGGGCTTTCTAAGAAGTGCCCTTGTGGCCCTCACTGCACAGGCTATAGCAAGGTGGCCCCAGGCAGAGCAGGGGAAGCTCAGGCCAGTGCTGGGACCTCAGGGGACAGGACACCCCTCCAACACGCTGCCATCTGCAATGTCCTGGGCTCCTGCAGGAGTGAGGATGACCCCTGCTCACAGTGCTCTGCAGACAGCTGGTGTCATGGCCATGGGGGTGGGCCAGGCGCTGGGCTGAGGTCGTGAATGCCCCAGGGTGAAGGAAAGCCACCAGGCCCACGGGCATCTGTTGGGCATTCATGGTGGCTGGCAGTGCTCACAGCTGTCCAAGGAGACCCCTACCCCACTGGGGTCTGCTACAAACTCAGCTCCATAGTGGCTGGTCTGGGCCTTGGGACCATGAGTCCAAGCTCTAAGCCTGGGAGGCCGCTGGTGTGAGGTGGTTTTGGGCCTCACTGCAGACACTGCTGCCTGTGCCTGCACAGCCTGGGGCTGCAGTGTCCTGCTTGGGCCACCCTGGGCCCATGAGAGCCCCCATGGCCCCCTTGAGGGAAGGACAGGTCCTGTCCTCGCACACACCGCCTTGGCACTGCCAGGAGACCACACCCACCCTGGCAGGGACAGGGGCCTTATCCTGGGTCCTCCGGGGAAGGGCAGTGGTGCAGAGAACAAGTGATGGGGTTCCAGACACATGTGAGTCTGTGGCAGTTGGGTCGAAGTGCAGGTGCCAGAGCTGCTGGAGGGAGGGTCCCAGCCCCAGGCCAGGAGGGCACCCTGACCTGGTGAACGGTGGGGACCACAGGGACCCAGGAAGGGCTTAGCTGTGCTGGGGAGACCCACTGCTCTCCACCTCTGAGCCTCACCCTGGACCAGGCCCGTCACTCTCCCCTGGGGACACCTGAGCAGACCTCGGCCACTAGACCTCATGCCCCTGCCCGAGAACCCAGCAAGCACAGTGGAGATGTCCGAGTGCCACGACTGGTGCAGGGCAGGTGCGGCCTCCCCGAGCCCTGCCGACTCCCTCAGGCCCAGGTTAGTGCCCCCACCCGAAGCAGTTAGAGAGAAGGCCAGGCGGCCGTGGCTGGAGAGCAGAGCTGTGCAGATGCGGCCAGGGCTGCCCAGAGGAGAGGCCCTACCATCCGGCTCTTCAACATAAGGCTTGGGTTTCTTTCTCAATTTGTACTTCTTCTTAGTGTTCCTTCCCAGGAGCTCTTTTATGTGCTGCGTCACTGGGGAGCAAACAGAGCTGTGAGGACCACAGAACGCAGCAGAGCGAGGCCCACGTGGCTCCCACTTGGTGGGCTGGGAGGCGCTGGCCGGCCTGTGTGCACCTGGCACTGGGGAAGGTGCCAGGGGCCCTCCTGAGTACCATGTGGCCCCAAGCTGGTTCTGCCCGTGCTGGGGGTGGGCGGGAAGGTGCAGGGAGAGGCTGCAGCCAGCTCCTGCGCCCTTGGCTGACAGTGAGGCTGGGGGAGGCACACAG